GGAAATCGAACCCAGGTCGGCTGCATGCAAGGATGCCCTACCCACTGTGCTATTGCTCCAGCCCCAGCTTTCCTTGCTTGAAACACTAAATAGTTTTAGCTGGATTATAATTACTCCTAGTGTAATATAATTTTTAAAACATTTTATTTAGTCAAAAATATGGCACCAAGAGAGTCATGATTCATTTGCAACTGAAAATATAGTAGCATTTAGCACCAGGAAAATTAGAATTATATTTAAATCACAGTTTAGATAAAGTCCATAAAGCATAAACATAACTTTTAGGAGGAAAATATCATTTTTGAACACTAAAGATTTGACAAAATAAAAAAATATTTCTTTCTGATTTCTAAATTCCCCAATTACTGTCAAATCTGACACTGAGTCAAATTCTAGTTTTTCTATACTTACTGATCCTGGGGATGTTTAACCTTTTTAGTTTAATTACTTCTTGCTGGAATGGAGCTAGTTACCTACTAATATGATTGCTATAAGAGTTAAAGCAAGAATGTTTAGGTTTTTTACTGTTTAAAATTCTCTTAACCCCAATTCCTATCATACTATCAACTTGTATTTGTACAAATTAATTTCCTCCTACAGAAAAGTCAGATCTTTCCTCTAAAGTTGTAACGTACATTATTTTACATAGCATTGTTTTAGTGACTCTGAGGGAAAAGCTGTTAATTAATATTATTTTTGGCCATAAATCTAGACTTACAAATCTAAACTTCTGGGCAAAAATAAGTCAAGTCATTGTTAACTTTTAGAGCATGCTAAATTTGGGGTGGGCAAATACCCTAAAAGTCATAAACATAACCCCACATATTTTATTACAAAAGTCAGTCCTGAAGAAGTTAAAAGGATCTACTTTTGTGTTAGGTTTATTAAACATATATTCAATAGCTCTTTATGAAAAATATAATTGTATCACTCTGTCCATAAACTTTCTGGCTATTTCTCCTTTTTGGTTTCCAGTGCTACTTCTACAAGTGACCTTTTTTCTCCCAAACATTTATTTCTACTGTTTACATCAATCAAAAATCTTCTTTAAAAAAATATTTGATTAGACAGATTACCTAAGCAACTATTTCCCCTTTATTCCTTCTTATGAAATACTGATTTTCTCTATACATGTAACAACAAACTAATTAGTGAACATGAGAAACACTATATTCTCACTCTGGGGAATGAACAATGATCAAGCTAACCAAAATTTAGTCTCATTCTACCTTTGCTGTTGTGCTGGTTTAGATGGGCTTATAATCAATGAAAACCCGGGGTGCTTTTGTGGAACCAGAAAAAATTTCAGTTTGGGAAAAAAGAGGAAACAAAGTACAAGTCTTCTTTCCACTTTCTTTGCTTAGTTGTCAGAAGTACTATATTTATCTCTTAACTAATAGTACTCTACCATGAAAAAAAAGGGTTCTTTTTCATTTTATTTGATATTTTTGAGGAGGGAGGTAGGAGAAGCACACGGGCTTCTGCAAAGGTAGAGAGCGCCCCAGTACACATCCCAGCTTTACACATGAAAGTACACATCTCAAGAGAGGAAAGACAGGTGACATATGTGCTCGGGCACCACATGGCCACAAGCAGCACATGGGTTTGGGCTGCATATGTGCCAAAAAACAAGAGTCTTGTTGAAAAACAAAATACAAAAACACATCCAGTGCTCGGACATTAGTATCTAAACCAAGCCCCAAATCATCTAAGGGCGGAGCGATAGCACAGCGGGTAGGGCATTCGCCTTACAAGCAGCCAACATGGCCAACCCGAGTTCGATTCCTCCGCCCCTCTCGGAGAGCCCGGCAAGCTACCGAGAGTATTCGATATGCCAAACACAGTAACAATCATCTAAGTAGGCTCTGAAATAATTATAGAAGAAATAAACCCTCCCCCCCCCTTTTTTTTTGCTTTTGGGTCACTTTTAGTGGTCCTTAGGGATGACTTCTACAGTGCTCAGAGAAGCACAAGCTATTGTAGGAAAGTGAACTGGGCTCAGCTGTGTCTAAGGCAAGGGCCTTAACTCCTGTACTATCCCTCTGGCCCCAACAAATGTGTTTTAAGGTCAAGTACTTGTGGCCCAAAGCTTTCAACTATAAAACTTCAGTAACTTCCTATGAAATCATCTTATCTCACTTCTACAATAGAACACTTCTCATATTATATAAGAAGTATAATTAGGTATATTACTAAGAAACCAAAGTTGATGCATGCATACACACACACACACACACACACAGTTATACATGTACAGGCACACACACATATGGACAGAGACAAACATGAACATTTTTCATTATAAAAAAAATATTACATTTCAACAATACTCATGGCACGACTGGGGCTAGAGTGCTAACGGAGGAGGTAGGGTGTTTGTATTGCACACAGCCAACCCGAATTCAATAGGGGCAACCCACTTGATTCCCCGAGCCTGCCAGGAGTGATCCCTGAGCACTGCTGGGTGTGCCCCTAAAACAAACAAATAAGTCAATATTTTACAATCAAACTTATATATATGGAATCTAAAAAAGTAAAAAAAAAAAAAAAAACCATCAAACTCCCAGGAGGAACGAACAGATTGATTGATGTCACAGGGAAGTTTGCAGGACAGAGTTGGCAAAGCAGGCAAAGAGAATGGGGAAGAGGCATAAACTTTAAGTTATAAAAGGAGTCTGGAAATATAATCTACAGAATAGTGGCAATAATTAATACCATACAGCATATCTGAGAGCTGCTCAGAAATCTTGAAAGCTTTCATCACATACACAAAATGTCTACACTGTATGGTGACAGATGTGATCATTTCTGAACATATGCAAATATCAAATAACTATGCCGTACACCTTAAATGAATGTACTATATGTTAATAGTACCTCATAAAAAAATAGGATAACGAACATAATTGAAAATAAAAAGAAACCATGAAATAAGGGATGGGAAGATAGTTTGACGTGCTGGGTCCCTGCAATGTGCTCGATAGAGTCTCCCATGCCAAGGTTCCATTCCCAGCACCACATAGGTCCACTGAGCCAATGGTAAGCCCCAAGCACCTGGCCAGGTGTAGCCCCTGTCTACCACAAGGTCTGGTCCTCCCCGTAAAAAAACAATAACAACAACAAAGAACACAAATAAATAGCAAAAACAAGAAAATCCAAAAACATGAGAGTTAAAAGCAGAGAAAGGAACTTACAAGTAGAAAAATGTAGAGGCTAAAAACTCCTAAGGGAGTGTGTGGAGGGCTTGAGATTCAACACATACTAGTTACACGTAAACAATAACACCCAAGGGCATGATAACAACATAAACTGACGTTCAAAATGTTCTCCGTGTTTTAAAATTTAGGATAACTTGATTAACATAGCTTGGCTTTGAAGACTTTGAAAGGATAGAGGAATTATTCATGCTCATAATCCAAACTTTGTAACCATCATAAGATGTGAGTACTATAATACAAAAATTTTAAAACCAAAACTAGAGTTAAAGTGTACTCCCTATGATAATTTTCTGTCCTAAGAAAAGTAGACTTATGTAGGACACCCCAATTAGGTAAAGAGACCAGGAACTCCACTTTAGTAAAATGTTACAGTCCAGAGATGGTTCAGTGACTTTAAGAATGTGCCTGGTAAACATAGAACCACAAATTCAATCCCTGTCCCTAAATGGCAAGGCAAGGTCTGGGATTTACGGTGAAAAGCAAATAAATGTACCGCTTAAAAAATAAAAATAAAGTAATTTGAATCAGGTACACACTGCTGATATAAACTTAAAAGCAAACCACTGTGGAAGGTTTAAGATATGTAATGACAGCATTCTGATAACCACCCAATGTCAGATCATTTTACTGAAAGGGAATTAAAACTTTTAAAAATGGGGAAAATACTTCATATGAAATGTAGACATGACTAACAATGAGCAGTCATAATAGAACTGCAAAAAAAGAGAGGAAAGATGAGACTCTGACATGAGCTCAACAGGCGATGGCTTTCTAAGTATAATCATCTGTTTTGGCGTTGCTAATAGCAACTTGATTAATCATGACCACAATCAGACTATGAAAAATATACATACAACTTTTATTTCCAGTAAAAATTCATATTAATGAATCTGATCTTATGTAAATTATAAAACTATCAATTTATAAATTTAAAAGGCTACTGGTCACTGGAGAAACAGAAATTTCCTATATATACAACTCTTTCTAAAACTGTTCTTCATGTCAATCATGTTAAATTCATTACATCTTTAAACTTGAAGACTTTTTAAAAACAGATCTTTCTTTACTGACAGACTCAGAGCAGCCTGTGTATACAATTCTTAGAGTGATTACAAAAAGCCAATCTGATCTCATAATCAAGTTAGACATAAATTTAATAGAAATATCTCTCCCCCTCCCCCAAGTTCACATAAAGAAACGTTGGGCTTGAGAAATAGTAAAGATAGGACACATGTCGTCAACCCCAAATGGTGCCCTGAGCACCTCCAGGAGTTTTCCCTGAGTGCACAGCCAGGAGTAAGGCGTGAGCACTGCCAGGTGTGGTTCAAAATCAAATCAAATCAAATCAAAAGCACACACACACAGAACAAATAATCTCATTTTTAAAAATGCTGAAGGCTCCTAATAGTAAAAATTCATGATTTCTGCTATCAAATGGGATTCAGCAAAAGAATATAAGTATTTAAATATTATGTATATACATATAAATTACATGTAAATACAAGACTTTAGTATAGGAAGGCAAAATGTTACCAATGCTGAATCTAAGTGAAGAGTATATGGGTGTGCTCAGAGTAATTCCAAAACAAAAGGCTGGGAAAGAAAAGGACCCTCACTTGCTCCTACTTTTGTTGTTTTAGCCATGACCCTAAATATATGTTTAGTTTCTTCTTTTCTGCACCAAGACCTTCACTTAAAACAATTTTACAGACTTATATTGTCTTTTAAATAGAAAACAACAACAACAATTAAAATCTTTTAAAAGAGTGAATTAACTTTTACCTGAAAATTAACATCTTCTTTCTTAAATATTAGCGCTCGAACTTCATCAGGATCTCCATTAAATATAGCTTGCACCAATGATGGCTGAAATACAAAAGTGAAATAAAAATATTAATCACTCACCAAACATATTTCTAACTTTTAGATACAATTTTTCTTCTATGTATTAAGTCATTTAGTTTTTGACATCAAACAAAATTTTCATAAAGTCAAAGTTGTATTAAAGGATAGGATTTCTCCTTTGGAAAACAAAAATATACCTTACTAAAAATATAATAATTTAGTGTGATAGAGATTAGTACAAGATTTTTTAAGAATGTTTACATAGATGATAAAAATAAAGTCTCTTCCAAATACAACTCTGATATCTCAAATTGTGATGACCAAATTTGTCAAATAAGGAGTTTCTCAGTTCGTGCTGAGGCCCATGAAGGCAAGCCTCCTAGAAAAGTTGTTTGGGGCAACAAAATAACATTCACAATTTAGCATTACTATATAAAAATATAAATTCAAAGAATGACTCTACTATATAAAAGTATAAAATTATAAACCCAAAGAAAGACAATTTGGCAGTTAATAAAATTCACTACTACGCACAGACTAAAAAATATAAATGAAGAGGCAAACGTGCATTTCTAAGTATTACAATTTTTTAATCAATGATGTGGCTTCTCTGTTTCAGAAACCAATTGACAAAAGCATTAATAATTAAGCTAAGGATGAAGTCTGAGTTTTTCCATATAAAAGTCCTCATGTATATACCCAAAAATTAACTACAGAAAAGGCACTACCTCAGTGTTGCAGGCAGCAATCAATCTTTCCTAAAATTCTCTTTACATCAGTTTCTTTAACCACAAAATAAAAACAGAAAGCAGTTGCCATAACTACAATTCTGAAGACTAAAAGTCCTTTTTTAAAAAAATGTTTAGGAGATAGTAGGTAAAGTCTGAAATGATACATTAATATATGAAAAAGTAAAATTCAGAATGTGTCGATTTTATATGCAAACACTGCACAGTACTCACACACCAATATTGTTTTAATTTAGGTTTTCAATAAAGCTTGTGAAAACTAACTTAAGTTTACTCTTAAAAAAATAAAATTTACCCTACAAGTTCAGTAAAATACAGTAATAAACTCTCATATCTTACCAATACATTTCCAGGAGGTGGAGAATATAGGGATTTATTTTCCTGTGGCAATTTAGAAATGAATTCAGGAGGTTCATCTTCTACCTCCTCCAAAACAACAATACACACTCGACTCATTCGCTCTCTTAAAATAATAAATTCCAAGCTATGTGGTAAAAGTCAGAGTTGGAAGCGCCCAAGTAGTTTTTCCTTCTCTTCTGTATAACACTTAGAATCATTCTCTGAACAGCGCAGTTGATTTTTTAAAGTTAATAAGCACTAGCATAAAGACTGAAGTTTAAAATCACGACCACATAACTTACAACTTCCTAAAGCAACAGAATTCTATTATTTTCTGTTCGATTACTTAAAAGAAATTTCCCAACATTACAATAAGTAATACTGCATTCCAGTACAAGCTCATTTAAAAAAATTTTTCCTGCCAAAATAGTAATATTGCTGTTTCACAGAAATTGACTTGCATAAAAAGATCACTGTTTTTGATGACAACACTACACGATGCAGAATGAAATGAGAAACTGCTGTGACAGAGATGATTACAGCTATACCCACACTCTTGCCTGCAAGGTCATATAGTTACCAGTAACCTGCTTGCTTAGAGCTGAAAATAAAAAATAAAATCTCACTATTCTGCTTCCACTTCTAATTTGTCTTCATTTCTTCAGCTTCAATGGTTTACCGTAGATACTATCCAGAGGCTAAAAAATGCATCTAGAGCCCAGCACAAATTCTAAAAATGAAGCGCAGAGGTCGACAATTCTCTCTGTGTTTCGGAAAGAAAAAAGCAACTCTGCATTAATAGCAAAGCTGCAGTACATTTACATGCGATGAGTCAGACCACGAGAGACAATAGGACTCTTGGTACTAGAATACAGCCTAATTAATCCAGATATCCCATATGAAAGAAGAAACACAGATTGCTTTATTCCCATCGATAGCATAAGCAAGGCAGAGCATTCATTCTTTCTCCATCAGGCAGTTGTCTGTGGCTGCTCCCGCGAAAGGGCACAGGCACCAGGCAGAAATGGTGTTAGCTGAGAATCCTAATAAAGCAGGCAGGCTGCGAAAGAATTAGAAGGTATCTGAGCTCAAGTTACTGCTTCAGGCTTTTCATTTTTAAAAATGAGCGAGAACCCTCCAGTAGTTTATCATTCCAACGATTCCTTTGATCTCCACATGAATACAGCTTCCATTAAATAAAGTCTTCATTCAGAGGGAAAAAACAGCAGACGGTGCATCTTCTTTGAGCCAACTACTTTATTCAGTATCTGCCTCTGTGCCAATAGAGTTTCCTTCCACTGTGAAAACCGCTACACTTATCCTTTTCAGTAGATTTCAGATGCTTTCCTGTTCCTCAGATGATCTTGCAAAATGCCATCTCCAAACTAGTAGGCTGTTAAAAAATGTATCTGTGGAACCTCCAGATCGGCCACAGTGAAGCATTTCACTGGAGCAACAGTCTGAATAGCAAAGACTGCAGAACCGAAGGATGAAATGCCTAGTAATGCTCACATGTTACACTTACCAGAGATCTGAGCTACTGCTCAGGATGTGACTTCCTCTAGCTGGTGAAAAAAAATAGTGCATTTGGACAGCCTTCACAATTAGAAGGTTCATGCCAGTTCTGTGACTAATTCAGATCAAACTGAAAATTCTGTAACTGAAAAATGAGTGTGCTTTTAACATTTTCCACTAAAAGCCACAAGGAAATCTGGTGTACTGCCTCTGCTGACTAACACTGGTTTTAGCAAGTAAACAATTCCAAACTGCTTAACTGCTTTCGTATGTTACAATATAGCAAATGTTTAACCCTATAAAGGCAGCTACAAATTATGTCTGCAGTGAAAGCACAAAATTAGATGAAGGCAAAATATTTTATGAAAATATAAAATCATGAACCTAAGTCTTTATTCTTATTTTATTAAGATCAGTTAAAAATCTACCAGATGTATTTCATTTTCAACATCAAAAGGTTAAATAAAAGAAAAATTTAGAATTTACCAACAATGTCTAAGTCACTATTTAATCAAGTCATACTGTTTAAAGGAAAAAATTAAAAACTCACAGTATAGAAATACAAATTCTGAAATCCATGGATCACTTGAAATTTCACTATAGAAATTAAGTTGTTCTGCTTTCTGTTCTAGAAAAAGAATGAAGCCTCAAATGTAAAACATGGCCACATAAAACAACTGTTTCAAGTTCTTGCTGATGTAATGTGGCTCAACTTTAGAACATTGCATGTGTGAGGCCCTGGGTTTGATTCTTTCCATGATCCCCTGAACACTGGGAAGTGACCTCAAAAGCACAGAGCTGGGAGAAGCCCCTGAGCATCATACAGAATGTGACCCAAACATCAATAAATTTAGTCCAGTTAATCAACTACCCAGGGCAGGAGCCATAGCACAGTGGTAGGATGTTTGCCTCGCACACAACTGACGCAGTCTCAATTCCTCCACCCCTCTCAGAGAGCCCGGCAAGCTACCGAGAGTATCTTGCCCACACGGCAAAGCCTGGCATGCTACCTGTGACATACTCAATATGCCAAACACAGTAACAAGTCTGACAATGGAGACGTTACTGGGCCCGCTCGAGCAAATCGATGAACAACAGGAGGACAGTGACAGTGACTCAACTATCCATACCATAAATAAATAAATAAATAAATCATAGACTTGCAAAAAAGAAAAGAATCGTCGTTAGGCAGTTATACTTCCAGAGCCAGAAAGATAATACAGGTTCAGGGAGCACATCTTGCACATATCCAATTCGGTTCAATCCCAGACACCACCAGGGCAGCTCTGGTGTTCCTAAAATTCCATGGTCTAGGCACCACAATTCTTGGGTCCTAGCACTGAACCCATGCCCAGCCAGCTAAGCATCAATTCAAGTGGCCCCCATAGCACCACTGACAAAGCCCAACATAATATTTTTTTTCTATAGCTACAAATGAGGGTCAAAAACAAGAAGCAATAGTTCCAAACCCTCTTTCTTTTAATGATAGTGCTATTTTTCCATAGAAAAATTACAAAGAAAATACTTCAATATTTGTTCTTATAGCAAGTACCATTTTTAGTAATATTTATGACATTTATGTTGTGAGAAGTGTTGCATCTTCTCACTCAATACAATAACATTGCTACAACCCTATATTACAAAAATAAAAATCACTCACAACATAAAAATTGGATGGGTACACATTCACAAATTAGTTAGGTTGTGGTAATTTCAAACAGTACCATCCTAACCCTTTGTTTCCAGAGTGTGTGCACCTGCGCACAATCATGCAAACTACAATACTAGATCATAAAAGTGACGTTAAAAGACAGGTTATCAAGGGCCAGAGCAATGGTACAGCAGGTAGTGTGTTTGCCTTTCATGTGGCTGACCCAGGTTTGATTTCTGGCATCCCATGTGGTCCCCCAAGCACCACCAGGGGTAATTCCTGGGTGCAAAGCCAGAGCTAGGAGCAGCAATTTCTTGAGCACTAGTGGGTATGGCCCAAAACCATTAAAAATGTGTGTTTGGGGGCAGGGGGTGCAAGAAACACAATGGTTATTATGAGTTTAGGAAGTAAATGAATGTGCAATTTATTTGTTTTGTAATTTTTCCAAACAGATTATTTGGGGGGTTGGAGGAGGCAGCAGTGCAAGTGCAAGGTTACCTGAGCTTTGGTTCATCTCTGTGGCACTGCTTGAGCCTTGCACTACTGGGGTCAGTGGAACCACACAAATGGCACTCAGAGAAACACACAGTGCAAGGGTCATACTTGAAGTCTTTTGAGCTACCACTCTGATCTTCCCCCAACCACCAAAAGTCATTCATTCTTGTTGTGTGGGCCACAATGGAGGTGCTGGGGGGTATATGTACTGGGGATTGAAACCAGGGCTTCATACATGTGAAGCACACGTGTACTGCCTGTGTCTCCCAGCTCCCTAAACAAGTTATTTTTCTATGGATATTTAAGGCTAGGACTCTCTAACTCAAACATAGCTCTAACAAAATACTAAAAACTCGTAGCTGTATTAAATATATATGAAATGATTTTAAATCAAAATCATGCAAATACTTTACATACTAAAATATTATTTCCAAGTTAAATTTAAACTATCTTAATATTTGAAATATGTGAAAATGAAACCACCACTAACAATATCCTATGTTCCATCTTCCTAGACCCTTCCCCATAGCATAACCTTTTTACGTACACAATTTTAACTCGTTCCAAAATAGCCAGTGTGTAAGTCAACCTACTCAGACTTAAGCAGATACATCTTGTTTTTGTTTTCCTCAAGCTCACTGAAGGCAGGAACTGTGCTAAAACAAAGGGCATAGCAGCCTGCCTGGGGTTCAAACTGACAGGATTATTTCTAATTGTGTCTTTGGGCTAATTTTCTGAACCTAAACTTCTTCATACTTGGAAAATAAAAACCTTTACATTTACAAAAAAAACAGAGTAAGGATTACGAATGTAAACTTTGTAGCCACACTGCCTGTACTCTGATCCAGTTTCCCAAGAATAAATCTAACCTTTCCCTCTTGTTTCGGTATCCACTGAAGTATCTTCAACCTTTTACCCTTGTAGACCAACACCTGACCTGCATATTGGTCCACAGCAGTTATAACCAAGGGGGTAGACTAACAGTTTTTAGCTTTTCCACATGTGTGAAATGGCAGCCAAAAACCATTTATTAAATAACAAAAAGAGAATCTACTTCATACTGTTACTCAAGGTGAAATTTAAATAAAATGAAGATAATTATTAAATGTAATGAGTTAGTAAAATCAGGGCTACTACAACTCTCTCAACGCCCTACATGTCCCCTTACTATGAGGAAAGTCACACTGGTGGTATTTTGAGATCCTGTTAAGTCACCAAGTCTCACCCTTTCAGGTCTCTTGAGATCCTGCTAGAAGCATCTCTTAAGACACCAATGGCTCTCTAGAGAAGAAGTGTTACTGGATTAGGAAAGGGAGCAGAAAATGTCAGCAAGAAGTAGAAGCACAAGTTCTTTCATTGTCCACATTCTCTTTTGCCCAATGAATGAGAAAGTACTGGTTCATAATATATAAGTAAACAAAAAATATTTACAAGTATTTTAATTTTTATTAAGATAAACAAATCTATTGCTTTATCAACATATAATTTTATATCGACTTAATAAGATAAACCCTAAACCTCAGGAAACTCAAATTTAAAAAGAGGTCAATAAATATTTAAGGAATTAGGAATGAAGAAAGTAATTATGATAAAAAACTACTGACAAAGATTTTATGCAAGCACAAGTCCAACATTTCTTTTTCAGCATAACAGTGGCAAGGGGATTTTTTTTAAAGTAGTTATTCTAAAGGCAAAATTTTAATAAGAGAACAATTTTAATCCCGACAGCTTCACAATCCTTATATTTATACTGAAATGTACTACATCAAAGACATTGCTACAATTCAATTTCATGTAATATTATGTTGATTTAAGTATTTTAATGAAAAGACTTAAAAATCCACAAAAACTATTTTAGGCACCTAATTTTTGCTATGCCAGAATATTTTATTTTCTCACACAACTTTTTATCTTAACACTGAAATTCCAACCCCAAAATCATCTCTTACAAACCTGTTAACGCCAATGACAATGAAAGAGTGAAACATTTTACTAAGGACATCATAAGCAGTTACTCTGTGCTATACTAGCCCATGTATCCAGTAACCGAAAGCATGTGATGAAAGACAGTAAGGAGATTACTTTTCTTTGGGGCAAAATCTCGCAGTGCTCAAGGCTTACTTCTTGCTCTATGTTTTGGGATAACTCCTGCTGGGGCTTGAGGGACCGTAAGGGCCACACGCAAGCCAAATGTACCTTTACCACTTCGCTACCTCTCCGAAGTTGCTGAATTATGTCCCAGTTGTCTGTACACTTTAGAAAATGTCTTGTGAGTAGATATGAAAGAGAATCAAAAAATAAGTGCTTTCAAAACTACTGGTCAAATTTCCTTGATCAGCAGAGCCACTGAAAAGGTCACTGTAACTTAATAAATTCAAAATCCATATAACATCAGAACATCAGATTGAATCTCTCTGCACACACTGTTCTGATGTTTAATTTATTTGGGTGGGGTGGGGTTGGGGCACATATACACCCTGCGGTGCCTGGTGGACCATGTGGTGAGGGCTCCTGTGTACAGAACATGCATTCCTGATGAATCATGGTGAAGCCTTTTTGCATCGCCATCTCCCGGATGCAATGCTTTCGTGGCGATGTCTTTTTAATGTTTACCAAAATGACTGATGACTATTACTGAACTCAAATAGTGTGCACCCACTAACCATAAAGTATAAACTGGTAATTCTTCCAGTTAATATAGCCAGTATTATATATTATTAATGCACTTTTATTACATGCTTTTCATCAGGAACT